TCCTGATGCATAGCACGCATATTCTGCAGGGCCTCGATGTATGCTGCTTTTCGCCGTTCAAAACCCGCTATACAGATGCTCGTGATCAGTACGAGGCTACGACGGGTAGGGGAGTCACCAAGGATACCTTCCTCGAGCTCATTGCAGCGCCATTCCGCGAGACCTTCACGAAACCGGTCATATTATCTGCATTCCAAAAGACGGGCTTGTGGCCAATCAATTCGGGCGTCATCTCTCCCAGTATGCTTGCAAGGGATGAAGCTCCTTGGAACAGTCACGGCGCGTTAGTTCCGATACCGCAGCTTGCAGAAGCCATCATGCCGCTGCTGGAGATAGTTCAGACGGAGATGGAGGGGGAACAAACAAGTACTCACGATCAGGCCGCAGGTCAAGCTAAACCTCCTTTGGAACTTTCAACCTCCCAAAGGTCACGGGTAGAGGTTGCAAGGAACCGACTACTCGAGGGCCCAGCTGCGTTCGTCGTGCAGGACAGTCAGCACATATCTGCGCAATCCTCCCTCCCTTCTCCGATGCACATCACCCCTCCCGACATCTCAGTACGGGCCATGCAACTATTGAAGGTACCTTGTGAGGTTGAAAGAATCGTGAACCCGCATACAACGGCCGAACTGAGGGACGCATACGAGCGAATTCGTGAAGAAAACAGCCAGCTACGAGAGGCGCTCCAGGAATCGCAGGAGGTGGTGATCGAGTCTCGAAAGATCACCAACAATCAATCAGGCCTCATTGCTCTCCAGAACAATGTGATGAAAATGCAGCAAAAAAGGCTTTCTGCGAAGGAGGAGAAGAAACAGGGGACAAGAAAGCTCGATAAGTTGCTTGTTAAGAGGGTTGGGAGACGCTTACATCAGGAAAAACCTCATTTTCCTAATCTTGCCAATTGTAGATAATTTAGATATGATAAGATATAATTAGCGTTTTTGTCTTGGTTCTCTCCAAAAAGATCCAATATTCTAGGCCCCCCTAATTTTGGCATGTATTTCTCTAATTTGGAGAAT